AGTACACTGCTGAGGGGAGCAGCGGGCGGGTCAGGAGAGGTCTGCCACGCCATGTGGTCACCTCCGGGGCAGGCGGGAATTGAACTCATGCGGAAACGGCTTTAGATTCTCAGTGCTGTGCTTTAACCCGCTGCGCCACCAGGGAGGGCCAATCCTAACTATTTTAAAAGAACAAATTAAAAAAAAAAACATTGTGATTTGGTGATGTTAAAGCATCTTTCTGAGGAATTACTCAAGAGACACATTAACATTATTTCAAGGTTTTAAAAAAAGCTGTGGGGAAAATTGAGCAACAGAATATTGTTGTTCTCCTACACTCCCTAAGTAGCTTTAAACTAATAGATTTAATTTAGTGAATTATGAAATGTTCACTGTAGTAATTAAAAGGTCAGAGTTAAAAAGACAGTTATTTGCTCCAAGATCTCATGGTGGAAGCTAAAGGTGCTTAATCTTGAAAGCGTAGCACTATTAAGCAGTGGGAAAGTGGTCCACTCAACACATTTCTGCTCTAGGAGTTGTGGGTTTGGTCCTTTCTGTCACTTCAGGTCTGGAGATAAGAAAGTTCCAAATGATTCTACTTTGTCCCAGGACATCCTGTTTAGACAGTTATTTATTATAGAATGCAGACCAATGCCTAACTAGCAAGTTGCCAGTTGCCTTCATATTTTGGCTCATAACATAGGTCATGAATGTTTTAGAGAATACCTCCATCAGCATTTTTTCCCGTTTCATTTCATCTGACAAAAGGGAAAATTCTGTGCCTAAGATCTTTCAGCTGTTAGGTGGTAAAGCTAGAGTGTGATATAAATTTGTAAACTCATACTATATTTAGATAAAATACTTCTGCCATCCCAATATACTCAGTTCAGCTTCTCTTGAAATAGGGACTACCGTGCCATTAAAGGACATGCATGGATATTAAAGTGACATGTACCTGGATTTGAATTCAAATGCTTAGATGGGAGGTCACTTAATGTCCTGGGTCAACCTGTATCATTAAACATATGTGCCATGCTTAGTGAGGTTAGGCAGCACATACTAAGACCCTCATCTTATACCAAGTACATTGTAGTGCTTAATAAATGGGCATTAGAATCATTATTAGGGTGCTCACCTATTGTTTTTAATAGAAGTTATTCATAAAATTTTATGTACTTATTCAAAAGCTTATCTAACATCCCTTGACCTTATCTGCTATTATCTAAACTTGAGAACCTGAAACATTCCCATCTGAATTTCATGGAAGCATGTTTCTTCAAAATGGGAACATTTTTCTTGCTAAGAAAACAACCTGGAAAATGTGGGTATTTTTGGTTGGGAAACATCAACTCCTTAATACTTCTAGAGGAAAGAGCAATGTTTAAAAGTATTCTGATCCAAGTTCTCTGTTTTTACTAATTAAAGGAGTAATTTGTGCAGGAAATGTTGGGATGATTAATTCTGTTCATCTCTTTCCAAGGTTCTAAGCTCCAAACTCATGCCAACAGCTGATGATGACATGGCAAGAAATTGTGCAAAATCTTTCTGTGAGAACTTCCTCAAAGCAGGAGGTTTGAGGTTAGAATTTCAATATAATATTATGTAAAGAAAGAAAAGGGGATAATTGATGGGACTGCATTCTCCTCTGGAGGAAAATTAGTTACAGAAGGAAGTGAACTATTTTCTCTGGATGAGGAATGAGTGAAAGCTTAAAGCTTGAGCAGAGGAGAGTTGAAGGAATTCCTATTTGGAGGCCTTGAGCAGAAGAGAAGTTGGGTAGAGACCTAGAAGAGACAACAGGAGAGGAAACAAGGGAAATAGAAATTGGGGCTAAAAGAAATCATAGTACACCGTTTTCTTCTCTGTTCAACATTGTAGAGGTGTTCGTGGTAAAGTCTCATTTCAGATCACTTAGCCAATGGCAGAGCTGTGGTAATACAGGTATTTTACTTCTGGTTTATTTTTCCATGACAGTTATGTGAGGCATTGTTTTAAATAGTGGGAACAGAACAATAAGTAGATTAGACAGAGTTCTATGTCCTCATAAAATCTAGAGACAAACAATAAAGAAATAAAGGTCAAATGTATCAGATGGTGATAAGAGCTATAGGAAAAAAAATCAGACAAGAAAGGAGGAGATGGAGAGGGTTGTGATTTTTCAGTAGAATCATTGGTCAAGGAAGACTTTAGAAATGGGGTGACATTTTACAAGGACCTGAAGGAGGTGAGGGACAGACATAGAGATACTTGGAGAAAGGCTCTCCAAAAGCACACTGACCACTTGGCACAGACCTCGAGTTCAGCAGGAGGTTGATGTGGTTAAGAGGGGGAAGAGATTGCCGGTTCAGCAGAGGTCAGTGAGGTAAGGTTACATAGCCAGTTTTGTGCCTTTTACTTCTGTAGAAGATAGGAAGCTGGAGAGGATTGTGTGCAGAGGAGGAGTGTCATGACCTGACTGATATTTTTCAAGAATTTCTCTGATTATATCCCTTTCGGCCTTTTGGCTAAGATCAAGAATTTTTCTGAGTGGTCTCTTAATACATTTTAAAAAAGAAGAAGTATACATTTTTGGTGTTGGAGAATTAAGAGTGGAAGCCGAAAGGGTAATTTGGAATTTTTCTCAGTATATTGGGCATAAAAAGTTTTATTGAACATAGCTATTCCTGGATATAGTTTTGAATTGATAGTTCTGCTAGTACCAACATAGCTAGCAATAGATCAGTGAACTAAAACCAGTTAGTGGGAACTAGCTAAACATTTATCTTGGGGTAACTTTTTTCTAAGCAAGGAATCTACTGGGAGAATAGATAGAAAAATCACTGTGATAAAAATATATATGGTCCATTTCTTTGCCAAAATCTTATGGAAATTTTCAGTAGTTGATAATACAAGTAACTAAATTACTTATAGAAAATTTCCTATGAAAGAAATAGAAATCTTTAGTATCTGCCTTTTCTTTCCTTTGCAGTTTGGTTGTAAATGTTATGCAGAGGGATTCTATTCCATCAGAAGTAGACTATGAAACAAGGCAGGGAGTGTATTCCATTTGTCTGCAACTTGCAAGGTATGTGACTACATTGATTCAATCTCAAAAGGCAAAGCTTGATTTTTTTCTTCCCACATCCCATCATTTTAAATAGTATGAAGTGACCCTGAATAAGTTTAGCTTCTTATCTCCTTTAAAGGTTTTTACTTGTTGGACAAACAATGCCCACTGTTTTAGATGAAGACCTCACCAAAGATGGCATAGAAGCCCTTTCTTCTCGCCCGTTCCGAAATGTCAGCCGACAGACAAGCAGGCAGATGTCCTTATGTGGTACCCCAGAAAAGTCATCCTACCGACAGTTGTCAGTGTCTGATAGGTCTTCTATTAGGGTTGAGGAAATTATCCCTGCCGCACGAGTTGCAATACAAGTAAGTGATGTATATTTAAGAAATAGTAAGTGCCTCTTATTTAGAAGGCACTGGTTGTGATGAGGCACTGTGCAAATACAAAAACTATGGCATAAATATTACCTTTATAGAATTTGCTATGAGAAATAACTGCAGTTCCAGGTAGAAAAGGTCAAGAGTTTTAAGAGAATTACAAAGGCTTTTGAGGAAATGAAGTAATACCTTCACCGGTGACTGCCGTAGATGATTTTCTGTAGGAGTTGGCTTTCAAGCTAGGCCTTGAATAGAGAGGGATTAGATATATAGCAGTAAGTATGGAGTGTTGGGAAATGGAGCTTTTCAAGCCAAAGGGAGAGCTTGTGCTAACTTAGACAAAGGCAGAGCTCGTCTGGGGAATCATTCTGTAGTTCACATAGGGCAGAACATAGCATGTCAGGGTGGGGAGGTGGTGGGCAGGTGTGTCATGAAGGGAGATTTAATGCCAGAGCATGGAGATTAGTGTCTGTTTTACAGGTAAGCAGAAAGATTTTAAGAGTCTTTGGACAGTAATGGAAGTGTGAACAACTTTGTCCTTCTGGATAATCTTTGGGGGAGAAGAGTCTCACAAAACTGAGACCCGTACAAGTTTCTAGAAGTCACTGTTAATGAGCTCAATACAACCTTTTCTAATAATGCTCTTTCTATCCTCTTTAGACAATGGAAGTAAATGATTTCACTTCTACTGTGGCCTGTTTCATGAGATTGTCATGGGCTGCAGCTGCAGGACGACTTGACCTTGTTGGGAGTAGCCAACCAATTAAAGAAAGCAATTCTCTTTTTCCTGCTGGAATTCGAAACAGACTTAGCAGTTCAGGTACTGATTAAAAAGGGAAAGTAATTAGAGCATTGGCTAAGAAATAGCTGTAAGAATTATCTATGTATTGGTTTTTATTTTAGAGTCACAAAAAATAGAAATGTTTTCTCTTGCTTTTGAGCATGACTATAAATTTATCAAACTCTGCACTTAAGATATGTGCACATTACTGTATGTGTGCTATTCTTCATTTAAGAAGTAAGCATTCATAAATAACAGAGCAGATGGGGAAACCAGATCAATCAGAGTTTTTAACTTGCTAAACATAAAAGTGTTATGAGGCCAATAATTGTGACTGTAATATATTCATCTAAAACTCCTGCCTGGAAAAAGTTATGATCTTGGGTTGGCCAGTTATTTTCTTTTTTCTTTATTTTTTTAAGATTTACTTATGCATACAAAACTGGGACACAAGCCAGAGATGCAGAGAGTGAGAGGATTCAGCAGAGACAAAGTGGGAAGTAGAACAGGTAGATTGACTAAAATGCACTGCTGAAGGGAGCAGCGGGCAGGTCAGGAGAGGTCTGCTGTGCCAAGTGGGTCAGCTCCCTAGCTGGGAATCAAATTCATGCTGCAGTGGCTGCGGATGGCTTCATAGCACTGTGCTTTAACCTGTTGCACCACCAGGAAAGGCCCTGGCCAGTTATTTTCTATTAAGCTTTTATAAATAGCTTTATTTCTCACTTTATTGGGTTCTCCTGCTCAGTCTGTGTGGTAGAAGTGCCTCGATAGTGAGAGTTTTAGGAACTCATGACACACATGAAGTGCAGAAATATCCAGGACTTTTTTCATATGTATCACCCATCTAGATCAAGATATACAACATTTCAGATATCCCAGGAAGTCTCTCTTGTAAGAGTGCAAAATTGCACATTCTTCTGTGGTCTGATAGTAATTTGCTCCATAAACATATTTTGAGTGCCTACAAATGTGCTTCAAGTAGGAAGCAGTTGGGATTATTGGCTCTTGTATCTTAGACTAAAGTATATCCATGAGCTATTTAAATTCATTTGAAGATGCCAGAGCACACTAAGAAGATACCAGAATCTTCCTACATCGTAGCTCTGTAGGTTACAGTAGGCTCCTCAGTAACCTTCTGCATGCTATTCTCAGGAAGCAATTGCAGCTCTGGCAGTGAAGGAGACCCAGCAGCGCTGCACGCAGGCATCTGTGTGCGACAGCAGTCTGTGTCCACCAAAGACTCACTGATTGCTGGAGAGGCTTTGTCTCTTCTTGTTACGTGCCTACAGCTTCGGAGCCAGCAACTGGGTATGCTCTCTCTTCTTCATTGCTTAAAATGTTGGTTTTGTGTCACCTATGTAGTGAGAAAATAGTTTCTGACCACTTTTTAGAAGAAACCTTAAACCTTAGCATTCACCTCAACGCAGCACTATCTAAACACTTTTTTTTTCTTTATCTCTATTACTTCATGACATGTAGTATTATCATGTATTTCACAGTCTCCCCTCACCCCCAACTAGATTGTAAGTGCCACAGCGACTTTTGTTCATTTTGTTCCCTACTAAATCTCCAGGGTCCAAACACTATACAGTATACCTTCAGCTCTCAATAAGTTTTTTTTTTTTTTTTTTAAAGATTTATTTACTTATTTGTACAGAACTGGGTTACAGGCCAGAGATGCGGAGGGTGAGAGAATTCACGGGAGACAGAGTGGGGAGCAGAACAGGCAGATCGACGAAGTACACTGCTGAGGGGAGCAGCGGGTGGGTCAGGAGAGGTCTGCCATGCCATGTGGTCACCTCCGGGGCAGGCGGGAATCGAACTCATGTAGAAGTGGCTTTAGCTTCTTTGTGCTGTGCTTTAACCCACTGCACCACCAGGGAGGGCCCCTCAATAAGTTTTTATTCAGAAATGAAGTCTTAACAGCACCACTTTTTAAAAGTGTGCTCTACTCTTTGCCTTTGTTTCTGTTAGAGTTGGTGATTACTATAGGTTTACTGTAAAACCCAAGTTAGTTATGTAAGATAATCAAGCTAAGCACTTGGAAAAGTTAGACATTTATAGAATAGTAAAATAGTACCCAAAGGTAGTGACTTTGATCAAGAAAGCTTTTGAGGATTTATATATGAGAAGTTATGAAATGCTTTTAAACAAATACTGCATTTTTGTTTGATTTTTCCTTCAGTTGTTTTCGTTTTTATATTTTCAATTAAGATGAAAAATTTAAACTTTTTTCATGATTTTTTTATCATTTAATTTTATCATAGGATACATTTTATAGTTCACAGATATTAATAGTTTATTAAGAAAAGATCTGTTTCTTCTAAAATTGTTTTCTGTGAGGTGTCAGCTAAAATGTGGGGTCCTGCTCCTGGGCGACATCCTCTGGGGAGCTCACAGGCATGGGGCAGTTGTCAAAGGTCCTGAGTTCAATTCCATGAAGCAGAACAGATGAATTCCTGCTATAGTTAAGCTTAAGATTTACTCATATTTTTTGAAATTTGAAAATGCATGTGCTAATGCAGCTCTCCTCTCCCCAATTTTCTCACTAGCATCTTTCTATAATTTGCCCTGTGTGGCTGACTTTATCATCGATATTCTGCTTGGATCACCAAGTGCTGAGGTAAGAACTTTTTGCATTACTTAATAAATTCCTTTGGTCTTGTCCTGTCATGTGCTCTCCATATGATACTGTGGGGAGTACAAAAGGAACAGCATTTAGTCCTCTTAGGGGTCATACAAAACCTGCAGACAACTCTGAAACCAAGTGAACATTTGGACCATCTGTTCGCTTTTCTGTTCCATATTTCTGCTCCATATCCCACTAAATTAAGAGAGAAGTAGTACTCTCTCGCCCTCATAAAGTACACTTCCGAGTGTAAACTTTGAGGAAAAACATTTTTTTAAGTACTCTCCAAGTGTGGGTTGATGTATGTCCCTGCCCTCGTAATGTATTTTCAGATTCGCCGTGTTGCCTGTGATCAGCTGTATACTCTTAGTCAGACAGACACTTCAGCTCATCCAGATGTGCAGAAGCCAAATCAATTTCTCCTCGGTGTGATTCTTACTGCTCAACTGCCTCTCTGGTCCCCAACTAGTATTATGAGAGGAGTCAACCAGAGGTATGTAATAAAGATGAAAAAGCTGACGTTATAAAGAGAACTGTGATTTGTATACGTGTTCCACTGAGATGAAGTCATTGTTCATTTTCGCTCTTCTAACATTTGTGCCCTGAGGAAGGCAATTCAGTTATTCCCCCCATTTAGCTCAAGTGAAATTAGAAGAAAAAACATCAGGCTTTCTTCCCCAGTTCCCACTTTATTCCACCTGATCCATTTTCCCCAGAGGGAGGAGCTTATCTGGCTGGTGAGAGCCTGAAAGTATTTGAACTGGCCACTGTGAAGGTCCCACTGCTCACTTCCATCATTTTCTCAGCCCAGTGTGTATCATCACCCCATATGGAGAGGAGCTGGGTGTCTTCCTGACTTTCTTCTTGATTTTATTCATGCCTGGGCATGTGGGAAGGGTGTGGTACAGGATCATAGTATGACTTGGGCTCATTTGTTGGTTTTGATTTTTTGAGGAACCACCATGATTTTCCACAACAGCTGCACCATCTTCAGCAGCAGTGTATAGGGTTCCATGTCCTCGGCGTTCTCACAGCTCTGGTGGTTTTCTGGTTGTTTTCTTTGCTGTAGATAATAACTATCCTAATGAGTGTAAAGTGCTATCTCATTGCACTTTAGGTTTGCACTTCACTAATGATTAGTCATGTTGAGTTTCTTTTTGTGTCCTTTTGGCCATTTGTATACTTTCAAATCTATTCAAGTCCTTTTTCATTTTTTTTTTTATTACAAAGTTTATTTTTACATCATTTTGCACATTTTTTTTTCCATCTCGATTGTAATCCCCGCGGGTTTCCCATCACCAGATCACCCCTGTGCCACCACCCTAGTCCCATGCATTTC